GAATTAAGATTTGATAACATAGAAATTAAATTTTGTTTATATGAATAAAAAATTTTTAGAGCATCTGTTCTAATAGTATTTCTAGAAACTTTTTTAAATTGTGGATTTACAAATCTACGTAAAAAATTTTCAAGTTTAGTATATTCTGCTAATAAAAATGGATGTTCAACATGCACAATATATTTTGCTAATTCTTGCCTCATTTTTTCTTGGAAGTATTTAAAAGTATCAAAACTCTCACTTCCTATTCGTGCTTGTGATGTTTCTTTCCCTTCTTCTTCTTCTTCTTCTTCTTCTTCTTTCATCAAATGTCATTTCAAATGTTTGCCCAAGTGGCTAGTACCACCACTACTACTATAGCTAAAGTCACTCCTATATCTTTGACAAGCGACTCTCTTTCCCTCCCCTCAACCTCCTCTATTTTAAATATTGTCCAAACTGGGCTAATCAACCTAGTTTTCTCCTTTTTCTTTTCCCTACCTTTAGTTACAGTACTAGGGGTGGGAACATCGACAATATTAGCAGCATCCATATTGGCGTTAACACTATCATATTTTAACTGAACATTGACATTGTTGACATTAATTACATTGGGAATTGGTGTCGAGAGCGAGAGGAGGAGCYGACCATTTTTTATAATCATAAAAAATAAAAATCAACTTGATTTCAATGGTTGAAGCCTCCAAGTCTCCTAAATTGCTAACTTGAGATACCTAAGCAAGCCTTCTTTTTGTTAAAACTTGAAACAAGTTGAGAATTGGAGAATAGAGAGAGTATGAAAAGAGATTGAGATTTAAGAGAGTATGAGAATGGAGGATAAGGCTATTTATAGGAATTGAAAATAATTTAATTCCCCAAAATACCTTAAAACTAGTTGTTTTTTAGTTGTTAGGAGGGGTATTTTGGCCATTATAAAGTCATTTATCAATTTACCTAAATACCCCCATAAACTAGTTATTATATAGTTGTTGGGGGCATTATTGTCATTTTATCTCCCCTCAAAGCCAAAATACATAAATACCCTCTATACCCCCCCCCCTAAAAAAAGTTAAAACTAGCCGTTGGGTGGGGGGGTCTCCAATGGCTAGTTCTTCGGAGGGGCCAAGTGTGGCCCCCTATGGGCTTGCGGGTCGGGCTATGCCAACCTGTGGGCTATAGGTGGCACGATACAACAGTGCGGGCTATGCTGGCCGAACTTGCTGACCTGAAACCCCAAGCCTGACATGGCCCATCGGCCCATACAATCATGCCAGGCCATAGGCAGTAGGCCCAATTTACACCTTTACATAAGAGTGCATGGAGGAAATGGGAGCATTGGCATACATAGTGTGGTGTTAATGCTTCTTCACTTCAAAAAGATGTAAACCCATCAACCTCCGCCCTTGGAGCTCTATGGCTTGTTGCAAGTCAGCCTGCTCCTCTAATTTCCTTCTCAATTCCATTTTGTAAGCCTTTTCGTAATCGAGACTAGTAAGGGTAGTGTAAGTCTAGAAGCCTCTTCCCTCTGTCTATTTCTCTTTATCTTATTCCAAAGCTTCGTTGAGTAACCTTTCAACAGTTCAACCACCGTGCTCTTGAAGGAACAAATAGTTGTTAAAGAAAATTAGATGACACCTAGATGGCATTTGTGTCTTTTCACATGCCACTTAACGATCGGTTAATGGCTGGGACTAAATTGGCAAGTTTTAGAAGTTTACGTACTGGATTGACACATTTTAAAGTTCAGGGACCAAAGTGAATCTAGGCCCAAAGTACTGGGTACTAATATGGAATTTTCAAAATATCAATACGCCCAATATGCCGGTATGCCGATATGGTTTTGTGTATCAATTCATGGTTTTGTAGTAGATACAATCAATGTTCAAAATATCGATATGCCCAATATGCTAGTATGGGTGTATCGGGCAAATCGATACCATTTTTTTGCGTTTTATTTATTTATTTTTTCGAAATAGGTTCAGGGGCCGGTTTAGGTCTCCTCCACACCCTAAACCAGTCAGACCCCCGATACACTCACTATAGGGGCGTATCGGATGGGTCCCAGAACGATATGTATTGGTCGACACAGGCCGATCCTTTGAACCATGGATACAATGAGAGTAGGTACGTATTGATTTTGGATGTGAAAATGGGGGGCTCCACCCCATTCTCTCTCTCTCTCTCTCTCTCTCTCTTATTTCAGAGTTATTTTAATTGGTTTTAAGGAACTCCTATTCTTACAAACAAACTGAGGTCAAATATGTTGAGAGATGATGGGACAGAGCCCTTGTTATCAATAGATTTGGAAGCGAACAAAAGACATTGGGGACATTAAAATAGGGGATTTGCCCAAGGTTCTAAATATTGACATGGGCCGATATGCCCTACCAACTTATTGGCCTATGTCGGTGCTTTTTTTTTATGTTTTACATATTTTTTTTAGAAACTAGTTCAGAGGGGTCGATTTAAGGCCTAGCTACCCTCTAAACCAGTGGCTGACCCGATACAACCCCTTTAGTTGCATATTGGGAAGCCACCATCATGATACGTATTGGCCGATTTGGACCGATACGTGTTGATACTTTGAACCTTGGATTTTCCCCATACCAATGATACCCTTTTTTACGTTTTATTTATTTATTTTTCGAAACAGGTTTAGGGGGGCCGGTTTAGGTCTCCTCTTGGTCAGACCCCCGATACACCCACTATAGGGGCGCATCAGAGGGGTCCCGGAACAATACGTATTGGTAAACGGTACACCACTTCCCTATCCACACGTTCCCTCCCTCCCTCTCTTTCTCTCTTATGATGCTTCCCCCCACCTCAAATGACTTGTTTTTCTTCGTTCCCATTGATGCCCAACTTGAGGAAGATGGGAGCCTTCTCCGGTACCTGTTCCTTTGAACACCCCTATAATTAGTGTCATTGTCCTTTATCTCTTTGTAAGCATAGTTTACATAGCTGGAACAACCACCATGAGCAACTATTGAAGCAACAATACTCTACCATCTAGGGAAGACAAAGGAAGATAGTAGGGACTTGGGACCACTCACCAACAACTTACTACACATCAACAACAATAACAAAATAAAGCTAGGGTTGTTGGGTTTGCTAAAGCAAGCTGCAATTTTTTATGAGGATTTTGTTCATTGATGTGTGGTAATTTAACTTGAAGTATTTGACTAAGTGATGTAGTTGGCTTGTAGTGATCCTTTTTTCCCGATGCAATTTCTTTTTTATTTGTTTCAAGCTTAGATTGAAGTTCCCATTCCGTCTAGGTGTTTCTGTTTCTCACATATTTGTTTTTTATTTCAATGATCCATGTTCTTATAGTGTTTTGTTTTCTATGCATAAGCATGTTTGACAAGGTTCAAAATATTGATACGCCCGATATGCCATTATGGGCGTATTGAGCAAATCGATACCCTTTTTTTTATGTTTTATTTATTTATTTTTTGAAACAGGTTAAGGGGAGCCGGTTTAGGTCTCATCCACACCCTGAATTGGTCAGACCCCCAATACACCCACTATAGGAGCATATCAGAGGGGTCCTGGAACAATACGTATCGGCCGGTATGTGTCGATACTTTGAACCATGATGTTTGACAATTCTACTTTCTGAAGAGTGGTGTAGGCCCTGAATTTCAACCTTTGACAATATGGGTGCTCACCACGCTTCAATGGAGTTTCTCTACACCTTAGTATTTATAACCCTTTTTGTAGTTGTTTGACATATAAACTTAATATATTGTTTCCCATGTGGGTTGTTATTGCTCATCTGATGACAAATGAAACTTTGTTGTCTCAACAGAAGAGGAGTTTCCCCCCGCCCATGTAACTATAAACCGTGAGATATGCATCCTAAAGGTTGTATGTATTGACAAGTCTATTTAATATTCACAGTGATACTAACATACTGATGTTGCAATTTGTTGGGACTTGTGAAAAAGATTACAAAAGGAATGAGGTAGAACTTGAAGGAAGAAAGAGGAAAAAAGGGTTAGAAGATTCATTATAATTCCATTGGAGAAGAAGAATAGTCTCTCTTTTTTCTACATGATTATATGTATAAGGGTAATTTGGTACTTTTGCTAACAATAATTTTTAAAACTAAATTATTAATGATAATAAATAATTTATAAACTAAACATAATAAATATATATTAGTAGTTACTTAAATATATTATTTACATAAAATAATAAAAAGAATTATTAATTGTTATTATTGATAAAAATTATACTTTTATTTTTTTAACTGGATGTAAAATTGTTAATTAATAGTTCATATAGTATATATTATATATATGCATTATATATATAATATCATAATATAATATAATATAGTATAATATAAAATATTACATATACGTTTAGTATTTATATTCTATAATTATATATATTTATTGATAATATACATTCTAAATTTCATAAAACCAAAAAACTGAAGAACAGAACTTGTCAAAAACTAAACCGGTCAACCGATTAACCAATTGGTTTTGATTCGGTTTCCATTTTTTATTTTTCAAAAACCGAAAGACTGGTTGATCTTATAAAAAGGTACATGGTTTAGTTAACTGAACCCCGTAAGCACCCCTAGTTTCTATAACTGTTGCGAGAAATCTCAACTCAAAATAGGCAGGCATCTGAGGTATTGAAAAGGACATAGAAGTGTCTCAAGTTGAATCTCAAGATTAATATTTCTACCGCAAGACTGGTTATATTTTTGTTGGGATACCTTGGGAATTGGGATGTTCTCCACTGGGCAAGGTTCAAAATTTCGATATGCATCAGGCTATATGAGTCCTTCCCAATACGCCCATACAGCGAGTGTTTTGGGTCAGACAGTGGTTCAGGAGATGGACAGGCTTTAAACCAACCCCCCTGAACCAGATTTGAAAAAAAAAAATAAAAAAAATAGAGAAACAGGCACCAATACAGGCCGGCGTATCGGTTGTATGGACCCCTTGTTTTTTAGTTTCTGTTAATATAGTCTCTTAAAAAAAAAACAAACACTCAAGGACTGCAGTTCAACTAATGTTCCACACTAGCATCGCAAAACTATGGATCAAACAGAAAACGGGTTCAATACAATTTAGTTCAGGTTCAACTATCAGTCTCAATCCAGACCCGTGCATCAGCTAACCAAACTATGACAAGTGAATAAAATTGAACCATCAGCTGAAATTTTTTCTTTACCGTTTAATTTAACGATCTAGTTCTATGATTCTAACTTCTCAAGTATTGTCACAACCAGGACTGACAGTAAAGCAAAGGTACTGAAGATCCAATCTTTATTAAACCTGACTCTTGATTACTATTGTTCTAGATGCTCCTCTTTTGCAGAAACACCATCCTGTGTCATCAAGGTGAACCTTTTAGACAATGAAGGTTAAATGGTCTGCTGCATTTATATCAAGCGAAGCTTATGTACAGCATCTTCTGGCACTTTGGAATCACATGCAGCACCCAATATATGCTTAAAGATGTTGATAATGGATTTTCACAAGCTCTCTTGCATTGACGGACAAAACAACCAAAACTCTTCGGAAGCTTCAAACCCTATGGATCCAAGAATTGAATAGTCTGCATTACATCAACTGTGGTGCAAAACAATAATAAACTAGCACAAGAAGTGGATGTTTATGCCCAAAAATATGACTCTAAACAAAGGAAGCACCTCAATTGAGTTCAAAAGATCTTACATGAGATAAAAAACATTATAAGGACCTTATAGATAGGGAAAATTCCCAATTAGTGGGTATTTTGGTGACCCAACTTTCTTGAATAGAAGAGGCAAGGATTTAGGACTGTTCATTTTTTATCAATGTTTGAATGGTTGATAAAGAAAATTAGATGATACTTGAAGGGCATTTGCATCTTTTTAAATGTCACTTAATGGCTGGTTAAGGGCTGRTTAACGGTAGGTACTAAATTGGCATGTTTTGAAAGTTTGAGGACCAAAATGGCACTAGGCCCAAAGTACAGGGTACTAATCGGGAATTTTCCCTTGTAGATAAATCAATAGGAATGTATAGGGGAACAAATAAAAAAATATATAAAAAGGTGAGYAACTGAACAAGGACAATCAATATGTTACTTAAATTTATACCTAACGCCCTGAAAGCAGTTATTTTTCTTCTGGCACAAACTCTAATGGAGCCCTCTCCAAATACTGGTCTGATTGATGTGCAGCACCTTGTATCGGACAGGACCCAAGTCACCTCTTCCATGCCCAAGCAAATACTTTTCATGGAAAAGCCCAAATTGTTGGACCTATCACCCATATCTGTCCTATGTCCTGTGCACCAGCCGGTAAGATTATATGAATACCAGCTTCTTGGGGTTGGACCATTTAAATCCTCTTAGGGGGCGTTCTTTTTTTTGGATTTTGAGAGGGGGGAAAGTTGGTTAATGGGATTTTGGTTCCCATTGACCAAGAATCCCATATTCTTTTTTCAGATTTATGTGGAGATCAGGGAAAGTTTATTTTCCTGGGAAGTGATACCCATCTCCTAGGTGGGTAAATAACTTTCCCAACTAGGGGGAAGTTGCCAACACTTGAATGGGACAAAAATACCCCTTTTAATAATGGATTTTTATAGCTAAAATGGTCATTGCCTTATTTACATAAGAAATAAAAGATCATGAGTAAATGCACTTACCCGGGTAAGTGTTTCCCAGAAAAAAGTTACCCAGGTAACTGCATTTACCCAGGTAAGTAACTTACCAAAAAGCGAACGGGGCCTCAATTCCAATGGAAATAGAAAATGCCTCATGGGATGTAGTCAGTATGCAACAGGATTGCCTCTTTGGTGCTCATAAAAGTGAGGAGCTGCCTCTATCAGCCAAGAAGGATCAATAGCAGTGACATTGCGCATGTATTGTCGATCAGTTGAAACAAGAGAATGGAAGATAACCCACTTTGGATTAACTCTGCAGAAAAGGAAACAAAGTTGCAGAAGTGGTGTCATGCAAATTTTGCATCTGCTTCATCAAGATGCAAAGTTCAAAACAAACCAAGGGGAAAAAAGTTGGGTGCAAATTAAACTTTTAATGGAAGCATCAGGGGGAAGACATGGTACAATATCTCTATCATGATGTGAGACATTTTACGCATAATAGTTGCACCTGGACTTCAAATAGATACTTCACTTTATTCTCTTTCTGCCCAAAAATGTATATTTGGATTTTACATATAGCATATTGTCATACAAAAAAAAAGAAAATATTATCCATCTCATTTACCATAAAATATTTCATACTTGTTAATGGTTCAGTTAGCACTGGTTCAGTTCTAGGTCTGAAATAAGAAAGAAAGAAGAAAGAATAGAAGAGAAAGAAGAGGAAGGGTGTTAGAGTCGGCTGTAGAAGGGTAGTATAGACTTTTTATGTTAAGTTATTATATTAGTTGTTCAGCTGATTTTGCTCTCACTTAAGTGAGGGCACAATAGTAATTCTTGTATATTTTAGAAGGGTATAAATAAAAGAGTGGCCGACTAGAGAAGGGGGACTTTTCTCTCTAGTTTGGCTGAGACTATTCTTTCTCTCCTCCTCCTCCTTCTCCCTCTCTTTCTTTTGATCTGGACTTATACGAACATCTAATCTGAGTTTTATCAAAGGGAATAGAGAGAACGGCTGGAGAAAAATCACCCACTCTCAGCCGACCTTCTTATTTATATGTTATGCGTCTTGGTGTACAAAGACTTATGTCCCTATTTGAGTATGGGAAACAACTTAAAACAAAGATAAAAAGGACAACATAACTCTAATAAAAAATAAAAAGACCAAACTACCCTTATGATTGCTGATTCTAACATTCCTTCGCAAGCTGGTGAGTATGTCATATAATCTCAGCTTGTTACATATGTAGCCCACTCTCCCCCGACTCAACTGATTTCATAATTCACATGTATTGTACTTATCACTCCACTGAGCATCTTTTCTCTTACAAAGTGGCAATTAACTTCTATGTGTTTTGTTCTCTCATGGAAAACTGGATTAGAAGAAATGTGGATTGTAGCTTGGTTGTCACAATACAACTTCATAGGGCTGTCAATTGAGAATCCCATCTCCTGCAAAAGGTTCTTCAACCACACTAGTTCACATGTAGTGTGTACTTTGTAGTGGATCTTCTTTCAAAAATTGAGGCAGCCCAATTGGAGCTCCCTTCAAATATCAAACAATCCTTAGAACTGTATCCCAATTGGATGTTAGACAGTGTATGCCCTTAGCTCCAATAAGATTGATGTACAGATACATTTATTGTAAATGAATCATAGTACATAATTGCTTCATATTATGATTGGTGTGTTTCTGTGTAATCACCCCTTAAACTGGACACATATGAGACTCGCGTTAGTTAGAATGTTCTCAGTCGTTGGATAGACTTGGGGAGTTTATCCTGCCAAGGTTGACACTAATGTGCTGCTAAAGAATTTGGGGCAGCTTGTCTCAGCTGCTAGGGTTGGACCCGAAGCACGTGTGTGTTTGTTTGAAGTACTGAATCCGGACATTCTTTTTTTCAGTTATGCCCTGGACCTTGGAGACTGATGGGCAAAACTGGAATGTTACACATAACCCCTAGACTTGATTATGGTACTACACTAGGTATCGGATCGGGCTGTCTTTGATATGCCAATCAGTGAGATCCTTTGGGGGTCAAAACCTGCGTATGTTGGGGCAATTTGAGAATTCACTCGAGTGGGTGATCATAGTGATAGGATCAGCCCCTTTGTCAGACAAAGTGAATGATCGGGACTGCACTTTCTCTGATGAAAACCAAAATTGTCGGCAGTCGATTTCAACCGTGTTTGAGATTTGTTTTGCAAAATATATTTATATATATATATATATTATGTTTTAAGAAAAAGTGTTTGCAAAAAGGTTTTAATTCTTGGGACCCATCTGAGCATAGAGTGCAACACTGCACCTTGCAGTCAGGGGAGAGGTCCTTCCTTGTCGGGCAGTGTTTGATCATTATGGGTTGAGGGGTTAAGTGTAAGAGACCATTGGGAGCTGTTTACCTGATGGGCTATATCTTACTTAAGTCCATTGTCCTTGGGCTTTCATAGGATGGCTGGACTCAAGGATCACTTAATTGTAAATGTTGGACCCATTAAGAGCCCATACTGATGGACTTAGGGGTTCACTATACTTGACAGTGAATTCGGCTAGGCCTTTTCTTAGAGGCTGAGCTGAACCCATGTGGGCTTATGTAAGGTCATTGTTGGGGGCCCACGCCATACAAAGTGAACCTAAATGGGCCAGCAACTACCTAGGGAGTAGGGACATGAGCAACTTGCTTAATGGGCCTAAAGCCAATGACTATTTGGATTAATCAAGATGTCACGTGACAGCTTAAGCAGTCATGTAACATGGGCGAATATGGGTTTGGATAAGGGTCTGGAGCATCCATTTTGATAAGAGGATAAGTCTTATCCACTAAGAGAGTCCAAATCCAAATAAAGATTTGGATTAGGAACCTCCTAATCCAATTAGGAGAGGTGCTCCTTAAGGAGAGTTCGACTTGCTCTAGATCACTCTGCTATCAACTCTCTCTCTGCTCTTGCCGCCCCAGAAACCCTAATTCGTTCTCTCCTTGGGTGACTGATCTTGATTAGTTTTGTTTCTGATTTTTGCAAGAAAATATCAGAGAAAATTCATGCTCACCTCCCTTGTACGATCCAAAGAGTTGGATCGCAGTTTTGCTGAAAACTGCATTGCTGAACCGGCTTCATTCCAAGCTACACCATCTTCAGTGGAGGCTGGTTTTGGGATTTAATTTGGGCGTGAACTACGACTTTGGGAGCTACATTTGTGGAATCCGTATCAGGTATACTTCTCCCTCTAGTTTGGTTTCAGATTTGGTCCGTTTTCGATGCAAGAACAATCACTGAAAAATGCAATTTTTCTAAATCAGGGAATAGGATTCTTGGAAGGCTGAAAGAAAATTTTTAAAATTTTGCCCAACCATCTAGCATGGTTCGGCCATCCATATGATGGATTTCACCTTCCTTCATTGGAACCCGAGGATTCTACATAAATTGGTTCACCACACCAATTGCAAATGATGTACACGACCGAGTAATAGTTAAGTAGTTCAACTTACTCACCAACCTTCTGTACCTCCTATGATCTTCAAACTCTTCACCTGTATCAGTACTTAATTTGACATTTGGTTCCATGGGTGTTTTAGCTGGTTTGGCACCTAATAGTCTTGTCTCCTCTAGCAAGTCAAGAACATACCTTATTTGGTACAAATTAATACCATGCCTCGACCTTGCAACTTCTATTCCCAAAAAATACTTCAGTTCCCCAAGATCTTTTGTTTGAAAGTGATGATGCAAAAAAACCTTTAATCTGTCAATCCCTACACTGACTACCAATTATGACAATATCATCTACATATACCACCAACTAAATCTTCCCAGCTTCAGATTCATGGTCGAACACATAATGATCAACTTAACACTGTTTCATACAAAAGTCTTTTACTACTTCACTGAACTTGCCAAACCACACACGTGGAGATTGTGTTAGCCTATAGATTGCCTTCTTAAGTCTACAAACCTTACCATCCTCCCCTTGAGCAACAAGCCTTTGTGGTTGCTCCATGTATACCTTCTCGAGGTCACCATGTGGCACTTTATTATATCATGCTATAAAAGGAGCCAATAATACACAGTGTTTTAAAAGGCATGGGAGGGCCTCAAGGTGAGGCACTCCCAAAACGCCTTGAGGTGTATGTCAGAGGCGTTGACACCTCTGAGGCGTACGCCTCAGGTGCAACAGGTGTATGCCTCATACGCTTTTTCATGAGGCATGTTATAGGTGTACACCTCATATGCTTTTTTCATGAGGCATGCTAGAGGTTTGCACCTCGTGTCACGCCTCTGTGTTTTAAAACATTGATTATACATTGCTACTAAAGATATCAAAACTCGAACAGATCCAATCTTGGCAACTGGAGAGAAGGTTCCTATGTAGTCAACTCCATATAACTAGGAATAACCTTTAGCCACCAATCGATCCTTCAACCTTTCCACACTTCCATCTGGTAAATACTTTATAGTATGCACCCACTTACATCCTACAACATGCTTAACAGGAAGGAGAGTTGTAAGCTCCAACATGTGATTATGTGAAAGTGCAAACAACGCCTCCTCCATTGCTTGGCACCTCCTTAGGGAGGTGATAGCTTCCTAGACATTCTTAGGAATAGAAACAAAGGATAAAAGAGAAACAAATTGTCAATGGAAAGCAGAAAAGTGAGAAATAAAAACATAATTGGAAGTGGGATGAGAAGTACAACCGTGTTTATCTTTCTACAATGCAATAGGAAGATCAAGGTCAGAAGGAAAGGAAACAATTGTTGGATCCATTGACGAAGAAGGGATTAGAGGAGGAGCCAGTGCCCATATGTGAGCATACACTTGTGATTGGTGGTCTTTCAATAGTAACCTACATTGGAGGAAACACTAGAGGAGAGGGAGGAACATCAGGCCTCGTAAAGAAGGGAATAGATTCAAAGTAAGTGACATTTGGACAAACAAATGAATGATGGGAACTGTGATTGTAAAATTTATGCCCTTTTTGGGTTCTAGAATATCCAAGAAAGATGCATTTTGTAGCATGTGCGTCTAGCTTGTCCATTTCAGGCTTTAAATTATTAACAAAACATACACAACCAAAAATTGTGAAAGTAAGGGGAAATGGAGATAGAGTAGGAAACCAGATTGAGAAAGGAGAATGACTTCCAAGGATAGACATGGACATCCGATTGATGAGGAAACATGATGTAAGTACAACATCACTCTAAAACATTTAGGAACATTCATGTTGTGCATAATGGACTAGGCAATTTCGAGTAAATGTCATTTCTTCCGTTCAGCCATGCCATTCTGTTGTGGTAAGTACAAGAAGTTTGATGAATT